CCTGTCAATGGTCGGCGCACCTTCCGCACAGCCCCAACACAGGCCACCCCATGCAGCCACTGCTCCAGGACGCCGAGAACACCGTGGACCTTGGCCGAATGGGCCAGTCGCCGGGCCTTTGCCACCTTCATGGCCTTCGATTGGGCGGTGCGCGGGCTGGGGGCCGTCATCATGTTGCCACCGGCCGACCGGGCCCCCGGATGGGACTCCCCGCCGGTGGGCCACCATACCAGCCGGTGGAAGGACTGCAAAATCGACACGGCGTTCGTCAGGCCCAGCAGGCCGTACGCCAGCCGGTCGAGGTCGCGCACGACATTGATGTCGGCCTCGAGCGAGGCCGAGCCGGTCCGCCGCCGGCTGCCCCGAGTCGACACGATGGACTCCGTCTCGACCAGGTCGCCCGACTCATCGGTGGTGGTCAGGTCGGCCAGCTGATCGGCCGAGGGGCCGCCACTTGCCCCGGAGCCATGGGGCGGGGTTCCGCCCTCGCCCTCGCGAGCCTGCTGCCGACGGGTGCTCGCCCGCAGGATGAGCTCCTGCTCCAGCCGGCCATACGTGGCCACGAGGGCTTCGGCCAATTTCCGGCGCACGATATCCAGGTTGCCCTGCAACCGCGCGCCAGAGCCACCGACCAGGCGCATTTGGCCCGGGAGGCAACCGGCCGGCACGCGAGGCAGCCCGAGACCCGACATGGCGGACAGTCAGCGGAGGAAGAAAGAGCCGAAAGGGAAACCGCACCAAGTGCCCAGTGCCCGGGGAGGTGCCCCCCCCCCCCCCCTCTCCGAAACCACGGCCCACCACCTCCCTGACCCGGGCGCAAGGCCCCCCCCCAGGGGGAGATCGCACCAAGTCGGGCGGGCGCTCCCCGCCGGCCGGGACCGCCTCGCCGGCCGTGGCGGCTGCCGCCACGCGGACCCCATGAACATGCCGGGCCAGCACCACAGCCACATTGCGGAAGACATTGCGCAGCTGGATCAGCTCCGGGTCGAGGATTTGCTCCGAGGCCTCGCCCCCGGCCGAGGCGATCATGCACTGGCCGGACGCCGGAGACCGGTTGCCCCCGGTATTCGGGCTAGGCTGGAAGGGCAGCGAGTTGGTCGAGTACGATCCGAAGCCATTCACATAGGCCGGCATGCCGGAGGACCCGCCGCCCCCGGCCCCGGGCGAGGACACCCGATCCCGGTCCGGACCCTCGGCCGCCAGCTCCAGGGCCGCCATGCCGTCGATCAGCTGGGCAGCAGTTCGGTCCTTCCCCGCGATGGCGGACACCGAGGAGGCCGACCGCGTGCCATTGGACGCGGCCCCCCCGGCCCGGGGCATCTCCCGGCCGACGTTCGGGGAGGAAGCCACCGGCGATGCGGACACCGACGCTGTCCGGCTACGCGGGGCGGTCGCCGCGTCCTCTCGGCCAGAGGCCCGTTGTTCGTTGCGCCGGCGCTCGAGGATTCGCGCGCTCGGCGAGGCACGGCTCGCTCCAGCCGAAGGACTATCCATGGCCGGCGAGGCATGACCCAGCGAGGGTGGCAGCGTGGCACCGGTGGTGGCCGGGGCCGGGGCCGACGGCGCCGAGGGTGCCCGAGACAGAGCCCGAGCCGCAGACGGCGCCAGCACCGCGGCCGGGGCCGCCGCGCCCGGGGTGTCCCTTCCTCGGGGGGAGCTGTGAGCACGAGACAAGGACATCCTCACGCTGGCGG